ATAATTTACAGCACTCAAAATTATTCTTCTCCATTTTTTTGCCTTCTTTCTGTTTCTAATCATTTCGGAAGCATTAACGTTTTATAACAGCAGAGCCCAACCCAATTACAATTCAACTGCAAAACGAATAACTCTGAAATATTTTTTACACGATTTAGCCTATACGTCAAAACAAATGTCATTAGAAAACACTACAGACAGTATCGTCAGCAGTTTGGCAGTTCAACTTTATTCTCGTCTTTTTTGTTTTCTTTTTCTTTGAGCTCATACTGTACATTTATAAAGTTTGAAAATTCTGTCAAAGCTCTCTTGATCTGTCTTCAATTACGATACAACTTTATGATCATACAGGGATTGACAGCAGAAAAAAAAAACCGGTGGTAATTAGAGAAAATTTGTAAAAAAGTGTAATACTGTAGCAACATTTTAATGTTTTAAATTTACTAAGTTTTTTTTAGGCGGTTTTTGAATTTCTTGAGATATAAACTAAATAAATTCAAAAGTTTCTTATTAATTTAAATAGATTTATACGCATAATTCTTGCAAAAAAAAAGCCGCTTTTAGTTTGCAGTTTAAAAACAGCCTATAATTGGGTTCCCATGACGTCTTTCAATAAACTTACAGTAAGTTCCCTAACGCTAAGCTTCTTTCGTCTGCAATAAGTTCATTCATATAGAATCTACTCCTGAAATTTCACCGGTTACACCAAGCATGCTGTTGGGATGCCGTAACATAGTGCTGCGGTTTACACTGCGGTTTTTCTCTGATCGCATTCCGGCTTAGGGTCAGATAACCACAATTGTCTCTAACTGATATTCAGTTCTGCAGATTTATGACCCAAAAAAGAAACCTTATATTCACTGTCAACATCATGAAACTAAGCACTTTAGAAACACTGCACTAGATCGTTCTTTTGCCAAACGATACTTACCTAGCAGAGAACCTTTTTATTGTAAACTGTTTTTGACTTTTAAGCTTGTAATAGTAAAGTAACAATCAGTTAAAAAACAACTTTTATCCATTCTTAATTTCGCTTCTTGCAGTAACTGAAAGATACTGTAAGCATGTCAAAAATTTTATTCGTCACCAAACTTAAATTTCCTTTTTTTTCTTTATTACTGGTTGTATAACACTGTTACAAAACCTTTTAAAAAAAAACAGTTGATTTTTTTTGCAATAATTATTCTGAGAAGTTAAGGTGATTTTTCTATTCAACAGCTAATAAATTAACAACTGAACAATAGACAGTATAAAAAACTCAATAAAAGAAAAAGCAGAATACAAAGGTTGAAGAAAGAAAATAAATATTACAGACTTATTGTCTAAACGACAAAGTTTAACTGTTTGTTACCAAAGTTGAACATAAAAAAAATCTTATGCTCATAGCTGCAGACAGAATATAATTATTATTTGAAATCAAAACCATAATTTAAATCAAAACCATTGCTTATTTTGAGTTACAACTTGCCGGGTTTTTTTTTTGTTTTTGAGTTTACCATTTCTTGGAATACTGTAAACTCTTTAGATACTGTAGTTTAGAAAAAAAAATTAAAATTTCAAAACTTGAGATTATTTTTTGTTGCACACTGTAACAGTATACAAAAAATAGATGCTAAAAAACGAAACAATAGTAATTGTTGTCAATAAACGAAAAAAAAAAACGCATTTGTAGAGATGATTCAAGTGGAAATGTTTCTTCATTTTTACACCTGCTAATTTTTTTCTTTTTGAGACAGATATTTGAAAAAAAAACCTTTATTTCAGAAGCAATAATTTGTTTAGTTGTTGCTGTTTTTTTTTAGAACTCATACAGGTGAACGACCCTATTCTTGTTCACACTGTGATAAAGCATTTACCGATAGTTCAACATTAACCAAACATCTTCGAACCCATACGGGTATGTTTTAGCAGATAAAAATGTTGTTGTTCTTCTTCTTCT